TTGTTGGAAGGAATTTTGGGGATTTTTGGTGGGATTTGGGAATTTTTGGGGAGTTTTGTGGGGATTTTGGGAATTTTTGGGGGATCTTGGGGCAGTTTTTGGGGTTTTAGAGGGGATTTTTGGGGGAATTTTGAGGATTTTTGGGGGATTTTGGGGCAGTTTTTGGAATTATTTGGGTTGTTGGAAGGAATTTTGGGGATTTTTGGCGGAATTTGGGAATTTTTGGGGAGTTTTGTGGGGATTTTGGGAATTTTTGGGGGATCTTGGGGCAGTTTTTGGGGTTTTAGAGGGGATTTTTGGGGGAATTTTGGGGATTTTTGGGGAGTTTTTGGAATTATTTGGGGTTTTTGGCAGGAATTTTTGGGGGAATTTTGGGGAATTTTTGGGGAAATTTGAGAATTTTAGAGATTTTTTGGGAATGTTGGGAAAGATTTGGGGGAATTTGGGGATTTTTGGGGATTTTGGGGGATTTTTTGGGGTTCAAATGGGAATTTTTGGGGGGATTTGGGGATTTTGGGGATTTTTGAGGCAGCACCAAGGGACAGCTCTGGGGAAATTGGGAATTTTTGGGGAGATTTTGGGAAATTTAGGAATTCTTGGGGAAATTCCGGGATTTTTTTGGCATTTTGGGGATTTTGGGGGGAAGTTTTGGGAGTTTCAAGGGGATTTTTTGGGGTTGAAATGAGACTTTTTGGAGGATTTTGGGGTTTTTTGGGGGATTTTTGGAATTATTTGGGAATGTTGGAAGATATTTTGGAGAAATTTTGGATTTTTTTGGGAGTGTTGGGAGGGGTTTTGGGGAATTTTGGGGTTTCGAGGGGATTTTTGGGGTTGAAATGGGAATTTTGGGAATTTTTTGGGGATTTTTTGAGGATTTTTGGAAATTTTGGGGTCATGGAGGAGATTTTGGGGAAGTTTTGGCGAAATTTTGGGGATTTTTGGGAATTTGAGGGTCTGGTTCTGTGAAATTTGGGAATTTTTGTGGATTTGGGAGATTTGGGGGGAATTTTTTTGGGATTTTTGGGGAAATTTTGGGAATTTTTGAGAATTTGGGAGATTTTGGGGGGATTTTTGTGAATTTGGGAGATTTTGGGGGAAATTTTGGGGGGTTTTTGGGAATTTTGGAGGTTCTGGAGGGGATTTTTTTTTGTTTTAATTGGGAATTTTGGGGTTTTGGGGAGTCCAGCTCTGGGAAATTCAGGAATTTTGGGGATTTTGGGGAATTTTCCAGGATTTTTGGGAATGTGGGAAGGGATTTTGGGCAATTTTGGGGGGAAATTTTGGGGGGTTTTGGGGAATTTTGGGGGTCTAGTTCAGGAAAATTCGGGAATTTTGGAGATTTTGGGGGTTTTAGGGGCTTAGCTGGGAATTTTGAGGAGCTTCAGAGAGAATTTTTGAGTTGTAATTGGAATTTTTGGGGGATTTTTGGGGATTTTGGGGGATTTTGGGATTTGGAAGGAATTTTTTAGGCGTTTAAATGAAATTTTGGGGATTTGGAGGATTCAAATGGGAATTTCGAGGGGATTTCAGGATTTAATTGGGATTTTGGGCAGAATTTTGGGGTTCTGAGGAGAATCTTGGGAATTCCAAGGGGATTTTGGGGAGGATTTTTGGGAATTTGGGCTCCAGCTCCGGAAAATGTGGAATTTTTGGGAATATTTTGGGAATTTTGGGGTATTTCTGCTGGCCTGGCGGGGATTTGGGATAAACTTGGGGAATCTTTTGGGAATTGGGCGATTCCTGAGGGGATTTGAGGGATTTTTCGGGAAATTTTGGGGAATTTTGGGGCATTTTGGGGATTTTGGGGCTCCCGGCCGAGCTCACCTGGCTTCTCCACCTTCACCTTGGCGGCCATCGCGGCTCCGGACGCGTCTCGGGGGCCTGGCAGATTATAGCTGAGCCTACAACTCCCGTGATGCCCCGCGGCGCTTTTCCCGCCATTTTCCCCGGTTTCCCTCTCCCCTCACGGAATTTTTGGGGTGTCCCCACAGGAACGTGAAGAAGATTCGGGGAAATCTGCGCTGGTATCCGAAATTTTGGGGGGTTTCAAAAATTGGGGGGGGGTCCCAAAAATTTGGGGGCTCCTGGGGTTGAAAAATGTGGGGGGAGGGGAGTTAAAAAACTTGAGGGAAACCCCAAAATTTGGGGGTTCCCACATGGTTTGGGAGGTCCAAAATCAATGGGGGGGCTCCAAAATCACCAGAAATTTGGGGTGGCGGTGTCCAAATTTGGGGGTTCACCCCAAAATTTAATGGGAGGCGTTTGGGGGATCCCAAAATTGTTCCTTAACTCGGGGTTCAGGTATGGACACCTGCAGGAGCTGGAGGTGAGGGGGACCCCAACTCTCGGGGGGGTTTGGAGGGAATTTGGGGGTCCCCAAAATTAGGGGAGGTCGGATTTGGGGCGGGGAACCCAAAATTTGGGGTGATTTCCCTCAGGTTCAGGCGACATTTTGAGACGTTCCCTCAATTTTGGAGCCATTTTGGGACGTCCCTAAAATTTGGGGGCTTTAAGCCAATTTTGGGGTTTTTTTGGGACCTCTTTGAAAATTTGGGGTCCCTCAAGGTGAGTGGGGGGGAGATTTAGGGGAGACTTCCCAAAATTTTTGGGGGATTTCCCAAAATTTGTGGAGATTTCTCCATATTGGGGCCCTCCGTAATTTTTGCACCGTATTTTTTTTTTTATATTGAATTTTTTTGTGGGTTTTTCTCGGTACTTTGGGAGTTTTGGGGATGGTGAGGACGCTGGGGGCAATCTCAGGGAGATTCGAGGGAAATTTGGGGGATTTTTGGGGTGAATTTGGGAGGATTTGGGGTCAAATTCCGGCGCAGGCCGCCGCCAGTCCTCCGAGCCGCCAGGGGGCGCTGCGCGCGGAGGTGGAGCGGCTCCGGAAGGAGGTGCAGGACTTGGGGGACGCCATTGCGGACGCACAGGAAACGGCGCAGCGCCTCGGTGAGTCCGGCCGGAAACGCGGCACCTGCACAAAGGTTCCTACCCTCAAACTCCATTTCGGGGTCTCCCCACCCCCAAATTTTGGGGTCCCCCCCATTTTTGGGGTCCCCTGATCCCCCAAACCCTCATTTTTGGGGGTCTCCTGATCCCCCAAACGCCAATTTTGGGGTCCTCTTTCTCCCCTCAGAGGCCTCGCTGGAGGCGTTGCAAAGCCGGAGGTGGGCGGAGCTTCAGCGAGGGGCGGAGCTTCGGCTGCTGGGGGCGGAGCCGAGCCCTGCCGGACTGAGCAGCAGCCACCAGGGGGCGCTACAGGCCATCCCACAGAGGTGAAAGGGGCGGGGCCTAAAGGGGGCGGGGCTTGGTGGGGATTCCTTATATGGGCATGGGGAACTTCCTTATATGGGCAAAGGGGATTTTGGGGCAATTTTGTGTTGCTGAGGGGATTTTTGAGGGCATTTTGGGGGTTTTTGTGGTTATTGAGGAGAAATTTTGGGGTTCTTGAGAGGATTTTTGGGGTTCCTGAGGAGATTTTGAGGTGATTTTGGGGTTATTGAGGTAATTTTGGGGTCCCTGAGTTGATTTTTAGGTGATTTTGGGGTTCCTGAGGGTATTTTTGGGGTTCTTGAGGAGGTTTGGAGGTGATTTTGGGGTCTTTGAGGTGATTTTGGGGTCCCTGAGGGGATTGTGAGATGATTTTGGGGTTATTGAGGTATTTTTGGGGTCCTTTAGATTTTTGGGTGGTTTTGGGGTTCCTGAGGTGATTTTTGAGGTTCTTGAGGAGGTTTGGAGGTGATTTTGGGGTCTTTGAGGTGATTTTGGGGTCCCTGAGGGGATTGTGAGATGATTTTGGGGTTATTGAGGTATTTTTGGGGTCCTTTAGATTTTTGGGTGGTTTTGGGGTTCCTGAGGTGATTTTTGAGGTTCTTGAGGAGGTTTGGAGGTGATTTTGGGGTTCCTGAGGAGATTTTGGGGTTCCTGAGGAGATTTTGGGGTTCCTGAGGAAATTTTGGGGGAATTTGAGGTGAATTTAGAGGATTTGAGGGGTCCCAGAGTTGATTTTGGGGAATGTTGAGGGGATTTGGGGATCCCTGTGGAGATTCTGGGTGAATTTTGATGATTTTGAGGTGGTTTTGGGGTTCCTGAGGTAATTTTGGGGTCCCTGAGAGAATTTTGGAGGAGATTTTGGGGTATCTTGAGGTGATTTTGGTGTATATTGAGGGGATTTGGGCCTCCCTGAGGGATTTTTGAGGGGATTTTGGAGTCCCTGAGGAGATTTTGGGAGGCTTTGAGGTTTTGAACTTCCTGAGAGTATTCTGAGGAGATTTTGGGGGATTTTGAAGGGATTTTTGGGGGATTTTGAGGGGATTTTGGGGTATATTGAGGAAGTTTTGGGTTTCTTGAGGGATTTTTGAGGGTGTTTTGAGGGGATTTGGGGCTCCCTGAGGGGTTTTTGGGAGATTTTTGAGGGGATTTTGGGGTACTTTGAGGGGATTTTGGGTTCCTGAGGGATTTTTGGGGTATTTTGAGGGGATTTTGGGGTATTTTTGGGAGATTTTTGGCTATTTTGGGTTCCCTGAAGGATTTTTGGGGTACTTTGAGAGGATTTTGGGGTATATTGAGGAATTTTGGGCTCCCTGAGAGAATTTTGGGTGGTTTTGGGGTATTTTGAGGGGATTTGGGGGAATTTTTTGGGGGGATTTTGGGTTCCTGAGAGATTTTTGGGAGATTTTGAGGGGATTTTTGGGGTATTCTGAGAGGATTTTGGGGGTATATTGAGGTTTTGTTTTGGGGTATTTTTGGGAGATTTTTGGCTATTTTGGGTTCCCTGAAGGATTTTTGGGGTACTTTGAGAGGATTTTGGGGTATATTGAGGAATTTTGGGCTCCCTGAGAGAATTTTGGGTGGTTTTGGGGTATTTTGAGGGGATTTGGGGGAATTTTTTGGGGGGATTTTGGGTTCCTGAGAGATTTTTGGGAGATTTTGAGGGGATTTTTGGGGTATTCTGAGAGGATTTTGGGGGTATATTGAGGTTTTGTGCTCCCTGAGGGATTTTTGAGAGATTTTGAGGGGATTTTGGGCTCTCTGAGGGAATTTTGGGGGATTTTGAGGGGACCTTGAGGGATTTTGAGGAAATCTTGGGCTCCCTGAGGGATTTTTGGGGTATTTTGAGGGGATTTTGGGCTCCCTGAGGGGTTTTTGGGGTATTTTGAGGGGATTGTGGGGAATTTTGAGAGATTTCGACTTATTTTGAGGGGATTTTGGGGAAGTTTTGAGGGGATTTTGGGTTCCCTGAGGGAATTTTGGGGTATATTGAAGGGATTTTAGGCTCCCTGAGGGATTTTTGGGTTATTTTGAGGGGATTTTGGGTTGTTTTGAGGGGGTTTTGGGTTATTTTGAGGGGGTTTTGGGCTCCCTGAGGGATTTTTGGGAGATTTTGGGGTATTTTGGGCTCCCTGAGGGAATTTTGGGGGATTTTGAGGGGACTTTGAGGGATTTTTGGGGGGATTTTGGGGGGGTTTTGAGGGATTTTTGGGGGGATTTTGGGCTCCCTGAGGGGATTTTGGGTTATTTTGAGGGGATTTTGGGGTATTTTGAGGGGATTTTGGGGTATCTTGAGGGGATTTTCGGGTATTTTGAGGGGATTTTAGGTTCCTGAGGGAACCTTGGGGGTTTTGAGGGATTTTTGTGGTCACTGAGTGGAGTTTAAGGAGATTTTGAGGAGATTTTGGGGTCCCTAGGGGGTTTTGGGGCATATGAGGTGATTTTGGGTGATTTTGTGGGGATTTTCCGGTCCCTGAGAGGATTTTGAGGGAGATTTGGGGTCTCTGGTGGGAATTTGGGGTATTTTGAGGGGATTTTTTTTGGGGTGGATTTGGGGTTTTTTGTCCCCTTTGTTGTTTCTGATCCCCCCGTGTCCCCCCAGGAGCGCTGGCTGGCCGTGGGGGGGGTGTGGGGGGCGCTGCCCCCCCTCCTGTGCCAGCTGTGCCAGCTGCGGGCACAGCTGGGCGTGCAACGGGCACAGCTGGAGCGAGCCCTGCCCGCTCCTGCAGCCGCCAGGTAACCCCAAAATAGCCCAAAAATACCCCAAAACCAGCCTGAAATAGCCCCAAAATGGCCCAAAAACTGCCCCAAAACGGCCTGAAGTAGGCCAAAAATACCCAAAATCGCCTGAAATAGCCCCGAAATAGCCCTGAAATAGCCAAAATAGCCCAGAAATATTCCAAAATAGCCCAAAAAAGGCCCAAAAATGGCCTGAAATAGGCCAAAATAGCCCCAAAATGGCCTGAAATAGGCCAAAAATACCCAAAATCGCCTGAAATAGCCCCAAAATAGCCCTGAAATAGCCAAAATAGCCCAGAAATATTCCAAAATAGCCCAAAAAAGGCCCAAAAATGGCCTTAAATAGGCCAAAAATGTCCTGAAATAGCCCTGAAATAGGCCAAAAATGGCCTGAAATAGCCCAAAATAGCCCCAAAATACCCCAAAAATGGCCTGAAATAGCACAAAATAGCCCCAAAATACCCCAAAAATGGCCTGAAATAGCCCAAAATAGCCCCAAAATACCCCAAAAATGGCCTGAAATAGCCCAAAATAGCCCCAAAATGGCCCAAAAACTGCCCCAAAACGGCCTGAAGTAGGCCAAAAATACCCAAAATCGCCTGAAATAGCCCCAAAATAGCCCTGAAATAGCCAAAATAGCCCAGAAATATTCCAAAATAGCCCAAAAATACCCCAAATCGCCTGAAATAGCCCCAAAATAACCCTGAAGTAGCCAAAAATGTCCTAAAATATCCTACAATATCCCTAAAATAGCCCAAAAATGGCCCGAAATAGCCCAAAAATGGCCTGAAATAGCCCCAAAATAGCCAAAAAAACCAAAAAATATTCCAAAATAGCCCAAAAAACGGCCCAAAATAGCCCAAAATATTCCAAAATAGCCCAAAAATACCCCAAAAATGGCCTGAAATAGCCCAAAATAGCCCCAAAATACCCCAAAAACGGCCTGAAATAGCCAAAAATACCCAAAATCGCCTGAAATAGTCCCAAAGTAGCCCTGAAATAGCCAAAATAGCCCAGAAATATTCCAAAATAGCCCAAAAAAGGCCCAAAAATGGCCTGAAATAGGCCAAAAATGGCCTGAAATAGCCCAAAATGGCCTGAAATAGCCCAAAAGTAGCCCAAAAATAGCCTGAAATAGTCCAAAATAGCCTAAATTGGCCTAAAATATCCCAAAAATGTCCTAAAATATTCTACAATATTCCTAAAATAGCCCAAAATAGCCCAAAAATAGCCCAAAAATGTCCAGAAATAGCCCAAAATGGCCCAAAATAGCCCCAAAATAGCCCAAAAATGGCCCAAAATAGCCAAAAAATGTCCTAAAATATCCTACAATATCCCTAGAATAGCCCAACGTAGCCCAAAAATGGCCTGAAATAGCCCAAAATGGACTGAAATAGGCCAAAATGGCCAAAAAATATTCCAAAATAGCCCAAAAACGGTCCAAAATTTGCTGAAATAGCCCAAAATAACCCAAAAATGTCCTGAAATAGCCCAAAATGTCCTGAAATAACCCCAAAATAGCCCAAAAATGGCCTGAAATATCCTGCAATATCCCTAGAATAGCCCAAAATAGCCCAAAAATGGCCCGAAACAGGCCAAAATGGCCCAAAATAGCTCAAAAATAGCCCAAAAACTGCCCAAAAATGGCCTGAAATATCCTGCAATATCCCTAGAATAGCCCAAAATAGCCCAAAAATGGCCCGAAACAGGCCAAAATGGCCCAAAATAGCTCAAAAATAGCCCAAAAACTGCCCAAAAATGGCCTGAAATGCCCTAAAATATCCCTGAAATAGCCCAAAAATGTCCTAAAATAGCCCCAAAATAACCAAAAAAACCCAAAATGTCCTGAAATAGCCCAAAATAACCCAAAATGGCCCCAAAATGTCCTGAAATAGCCCAAAATAGCCTGAAATAGCCCAAACCGTTTTTCACCCCAAATTCCCCATTATTTCTCCCATTTTCCCCCAATTTCCCCATCTTCATCCCCATTTTTCACCCCAAATTTCCCATTTCCCCCATTTTTATCCCCATTTTTCCCAATTTTCCCCATTTTTATTCTCATTTTTCCCAATTTCCCCGTTTTCCCCCCCAAATTCCCCCAAATTTGCCATTATTTCCCCATCTCCACCCCCATTTTTCCCG